CAAACCCAATATAGCGATGGCCTCCAACCCAGTATAGCGATGGCCCCCAACCCAATATAGCGATGGCCCCCAACCCAATATAGCAATGCCTTCAAACCCAATATAGCGATGGCCAAAAACATAGCGATGGCCTCCAACCCAATATAGAAATGGCCTCCAACCCAGTATAGCGATGGCCTTCAAACCCAATAAAAGCGATGGCCTCCAACCCATTATAGCGATGGCCTCCAACCCAATATATCGATGGCCTCCAACCCAATATAGCGATGGGCTCCAACCCAGTATAGCGATGGGCTCCAACCCAATATAGCGATGGCCTCCAACCCAATCCAACCCAATATAGCGATGGTCACACCCAACATAGCGATGGCCTCCAACCCAATTTAGCGATGGCCTCAAACCCAGTATAGCGATGGCCCCCAACATCCCCCAACCCAATATAGCGATGGCCTCCAACCCAATCGATTGCCTCCAACCCGATATAGCGATGGCCTCCAACCTAGTCTAGCAATGGCCTCCAACCCAACATCGCGATCACCTCCAACCGTATAGCGATGGCCCCCAACCCACTATAGCCATTGCCTCCAACCCAATAAAGCGATGGCCTCCAACCTAGTATAGCGATGGCCTCCAACCTAATAAATGTAGCGATGGCCTCCAACCTGCTAGCGATGCCTCCAACCTACTAGCGGTGGCCTTCAACTTCAACCTAGTATAGCGATGGCCTCCAACCCAGTATAGCGATGGCCTCCAACCTACTAGCGATGGCCTCCAACCTAGTATGGCGATGGCCTCCAACCTGCTAGCGATGGCCTCCAACCTACTAGCGATGGCCTCCAACCTACTAGCAATGGCCTCCAACCTGCTAGCGATGGCCTCCAACCTAGTAGCGATGGCCTCCAACCTACTAGCGACGGCCTCCAACCTACTAGCAAAGGCCTCCAACCCAGTATAGCGACGGCCTCCAACCTACTAGCGATACCAACGGTGGTTTCCAACATAGTATAGCGATGGCCCCCAACCTACTAGCGGTGGCCTCCAACCTAGTATACCGGTGGCCTCCAACCTAGTATAGCGATGGCCCCCAACCCAATATAGCGATGGCCTCCAACCTACTAGCGCTGGCCTCCAACCTCCTAGCAGTGGCCTCCAACCTAGTATAGCGATGGCCTCCACCTACTAGCAATGGCCTCCAACCTACTAGCGGTGGCCTCCAGGCTAGTATAGCGATGGTCTCCAACCTACCAGCGGTGGCCTCCAACCTAATAGCAATGGCCCTGCAAGCCTGCAAGCATGGCCTCCAGATGCTTCAACCTACTAGCGATGGCCTCAACCTACTAGTGGCCTCCAACCTCCTACCGATGGCCTCCAACCTACTAGCGATGGCCTCCAAGCTAGTAGCGATGGCCTCCACACCTACTAGTGATGGCCTCCAACCTGCTAGCGATGGCCTCCAACCTACTAGCGATGGCCTCCAAGCTGCGTAGTAGCGATGGAGGATGGCCTTGCACCTGCTAGCGGTGGCCTGCAACCTAGTAGCGATGACCTCCAACCTACTAGCAATGGCCTCCAACCTAGTAGCGATGGCCTCCAACCTGCTAGCGATGGCCTCCAACCTACTAGCGACGGCCTCCAACCTGCCAGCGATGGCCTCCAACCTACTAGCGATGGCCGCCAACCTACTAGCGATGGCCTCCAAGCTAGTAGCAATGGCAATGGCCTCAACAAAATAGCACACAATGATTCATTGGCCAGGTCCACTGAAGCATCCAATTGGTTGAACCAGGTTGAACCACCGATGAAGATGCATCTTGATGCATCGTTGAGCCACAAACATGGTGAGAGTTTCAGTCAAGGCTTCTTGGGTCTGACAGCATGGCCCGGCACCTCGTGGTAGAGGCCCTGCTTTAAGCCCTGCAGCGCTTTCCGCGGAGGGCCTTGGCCTTTCGACCGCAAAGCTGTGGCCAATTGCAAGGCCTTGTGCCTGGGAGCCATGAGCCATGAACGAATTCCAATGAACTCGGTGGCCGGTGGCCGCCGGAGGCTGAATGTGACAGGACTTGAGGGATATTGACTTGAGGCATTGAACGTGGTCCGAAAACCGATTCTTACATGTCACAATCCGAAATAAGTACTTTCTTGGATTGAAACGTGTTTAAACGGGGGCGCGTCAAGGAGCGCACGCAAACATTCATGTGGTTCCTAAACGTTTCGGGACACTTCACAAGCAATCCATCTGCAATGTCCATCTGCAATCCGGCGACCTTTTCCGACAGCTCTGCTCCCCTTTTTCGCCGCGATGGGAACATGAAAAGGTTATAGATGGTTATCGTATATAAAGGCATTCAAAGGCCAATGAACAAACAACTGAACGCGTCCCAGGTGCAGCACTGCTTGCAAAGGCTCTGCGGCATCAATGGCACCAGCAGCCAACAAGTCCTTTGCAGTCCAGCGCCTGTGCAAAACACGCTGGGCCTGGAGCTACTAGTAGCTTCGTGTTACTGGTCTAACACAAAAACAAACAGTGCCGGTATCGGTACGGCTGTAAACTTAGCTAGCTGTAAACTTGGTGACATTTTCCCTTCCAACCTAGAAGCAATGGCCTCCAACCTAATCGCGATGGCCTCCATACTAGGAGCGATGGCCTCCAACTTCTCCCGACTTCTTCTCATCGATTCACCCGACTCTTCCCTTCTTTCCCTTCGGTACTCCGCCAGCCTGGAATTGAAAAGAATGACATCGCGGTGCAGACTCTGAGGTAACTTTGCCTCTCCGACTCGGTGACGTGCGTCGTTCGTGCGTCAAGGGATTTGGTGTGAGAAAAGCAACCAAAAGCCACGAATCCGAGCAAGAACATCCTGATAGACTGTGACTTTGATCTTGCCCTGCCCCCTTACCTCAAGAAAGGTGTCGTATTCCAGCACCTGCCTGCTAACAAAACCGTTTGTTTCCCTTTCTTTACCCCTGCGAGTGTTTTCTTCCGACATTTTGTGCCGTCGCTACGGATTATCAAGCGAAACAGCTGTTATTTTTCCGTCAGGAACCGACCAGTTGGCCAAACTTCGCCCGACAAAGGATGCACAGGGAAGACTATTGAGCATTGCTCAACGTCGTATTTTGCGGTTGCATGCGGTTGCTGCTGGTGTCTCCAGTTGCTGCTGGAGACACCAGTACACTTTGGCACGTGCAAGCGCGGCACTCATGCTGCTCAAGGGCAAAAAAAACAACTTAGTGACTCAGTGTGCGAACAGGATGCTCTGGGGGGCCCTTGGTGTTCTCTCGACCACTATCTAGAAGCAATGGCCTCCAGCCTAAGAGCGGTGGCCCTAGCTGTTCTCTTGACATCAAAAGCGGCCTGAAAAAATGTATCATGCTGTATCATACTGTATCTGTATGTGACCTGAGGTCATGTGAACTCTTCAGGGCGAAGAGTTAAGTGGCTGCCTTCATCAACGCAGTCTGCATTGGAGCATAAATTAATCCCAAGTCCACGCCAGGAATGAAGAAGAATCCTTATGGCAACTTGCAAAGGCAACGAACGCTTTGGTACCTTTGGCATTGAGCATATTAAACTCAAAGAGAGCGAGACAAGCGAAGAGGACGATATGGTTATAAAAAACTTTCATATGGTAAGGCCAGAATCCTTGATTTAAAAAAAGTCAAAAAAAGTCAACTGGAAAAGTCAAAGTCAAAAAAAAGTCAAATTGAAAAGTCAAAAAAAAAGTTTTAAAGAAAAGAAAAAAATAAAAATAAAAAAACATTCAAAAAAAATAAAAAGAAACAAACATGTCCAGTCAAGCGACTCAGGAGCAAAAGAAAGCCGGCATATATATATATATGGAAAACACAGGCAAAGAGGACAACAACATTGAACTAAACTAGTAACAAGCTCATAAGTCAGCCAAGGCAAATTGCAGCCTTTTTGCTTATGGCTTATGGCTTTCAGTCTATTAAAAATTCTAGAAACCTTTTGGTTGTTCAACTTTCACCTTTTCCAGCCCCAAGCCAGCCCCAACCCCCTACCCCAGAGTCGCAGGACCCCTACCCAGCCCCAGCCACTGTCCCAGGGTCTCTTCAGCCCCAAGCCAGCCCTGTCCCTGGTGGCCCTGGTAGCCACCCCAGAGTCCCAAGTACCCAGCCCTGTCCGGCCCCAGAGTCGCGAGCAGAATTGACTTTTTTCGACTTTTTGTTGCCTCCAGTAATCCGCCAAGGCTAGGATC